CATCTTACAACTTACCGAGCGTCACGCAATCGCTTTTCCGCGATCATCTTTCACGATTATTTGCCCGTTTCTTGATCACAATCGTTCTTAATATAATTTCAAGCCTTCATATAGTCTTCTCACTTTGCGTGCGAGTTGGCTGGTGTGATGTCTGTACAGAATTTACGAACTTGATAAAAGTAGATTTAGACGCAGTTGAGTTGTCATTATTGATTATTTAACACGCGCAATATTCGAGGTAAACAACTGACAACTTTGCACGTGGTCCATACGTTTTATCTTTTTAACCGATATGTGTTCATTTTGTTGGCAAAATTGCGGACCAAGCCCATAGCTGTTCCTTCGCCTTGATATATTTTCAACGTTCAGGGGTGTACACACACTGATTTTCACATAAGCGCGTTACATTGTTCTTGGCTTTCATGAGGAACCGGCGAATTTTTGTAGGGAAAAGCGAAGCGTTGCTTTCGTGACTGGCCATTTGGTTACTTTTCTGGTGGTTTTATCTCTCATCTGTTTGGTGACTACGCAAATATTAATGTGTGAAAATCAGACCATATGAAGGCTTGAAATTCTATTAAGGACGATTGTGGCCGCTTTGTTAAACATAGGCATGCGTAGCATGCAAGAGTGTTCTTATTTGGCTGGGTGGGTTGAGATGGGACAGTTTTTGTACTTAATGTTTTCATTTTTGTCACCGAAAAGAGCATACATTTCAAAAAAAACCTTAATATTGTAGAAAGACAGAAAAAAAAAGCTTATTTATCTGGACTCACACGGATATTATGTGATCTAGTGTATCTATTGTCTATATGCATCGATGCTTAGCTTACTGTTGTCCCCTTCGTAGCCGTTGTTTGGTCTCCTCACACAACGCCCTCTATTTCTCGTTTGAGAGAGAGCGCGGCGTGACGAGACCCCAAGTACCATTTGCGAAAGAGACTACGCTTACTGACGTTCCTCCAACAGAGAGAAAATCAAAATTATTCGTCTACAGTTAATTACTAATTCCGCGTAAGTTTACAACGAAAAGCAAACTGAAACTCAGTTGTACCTCTAATAGACTGTAACCAAAGATATATTGCGATCTCCAATAAGTGATGATACACTGAACAAGAGAAAAGAATAGTACCTCAAAGAGGGCTCCTTGATTGGTTGTTGCCTATCTCGACTTTGCCCTCTGTGTGTGAAATACGTGATAAAATGCAAGTTTTTTTTTACAAAGAATTTACACGCAATTGGGTAAAGGTAGCTTAAAGTGACTTTAAATCGTAGAAAAAGTCAAACGCGGGAGGATTTCGTGGAAAACTCAATATCAGTAACTTAGTTCCATGTAAATTTTTTTCAGTAAGGTTGGACAATGCAGTTAGAATACGTGATAAAATGCAGGTTGTTTAGAAGTAAAAGACACGTGATAGAGCGAAGTCCAATGTGGCAAAATGGAATTTGATCGGTGGAATACAATTCAAGCACGTGAAAAATTGCCAAATGTTCATGTAATGCATGATATTCAAATGCTATAATATGATTGGTGCGAGATACATACCCTAATGCGGCAATCTGATTGGTGCGAAATACATACCCCAATGCGACGATCTGATTGATGCGAGATACATACCCTAACGCGGCGATCTGATTGGTGCGAGCAACATACCACTCTATACGCTAACAGAGTTTTTTCTTTTTTCATAAAAGGAAAAATAACTCAAAAAGGTATGTAAATTAACCCGATGCGCCGATGCTACGTTTGTTGAGCAATTCAATACTTGATGTGAATATATTTCGAAGAAAAAACACAAAACCCCAAGGAACAACAAAACAGGGTCGTTTTGAAGTTTACTTCATGAGAAAAACCGTCCAACACTCTGGCTAAGTTTTTGTAAGATACTGCAAATAGTCACTGATAGTTTACGGGGAAAAAAAAGCCAATTTCAAAAAAAAGTCAATTTCTCCCATAAGGGAGATGAACTTCACGGCTCATGACTGCTTATACCATAAAGGCGGGACACTCCTTGGAGAGAATTCTTTTCATGCCTTCAAAATGAGCGTCGCAATATTTTTGTCTTATTCCTGGTCCGTCCATTTGTTCATGGGCAAGCTTGGCTACTTAGTCCGTTATTTCAAACAATTCTTGTCCAGTCGACATAGCCAGGACCTAAGGAAAGAAAAAAAACTCTTGTTAAAGTTCCCATCAATATCTATGAAAGGTTCCTTCTACTTTTGCTTGGTGCGCACAGATTTGATAAGGCCGTCACCCAGTGGAAGCGTTATGCTCATCTACAAAATTTCTTTCTCCATGTTGCTTAAAGTTTCCCTTACTTAGGGGGTGACTCCAGAACTTTAATCAATCATTACCTATTGTGATAGTTTTAAGTTCTTCAAAGAATTCGAACGCTATTGTCTCAGGCCTCGCACTGTCAATAGGCAGACAAAATCAAGTAATAGTATGTAGGAATTCATCAGCTATATAGTCTTTATATCCTTGCACATATAGTGCAGGTGAGAGACTAAATCATGGATCTCTACTTTTGTAATAGCAGGAATAACTCATAATAATCCGGCAAATCTCACCTGCTTCATGCATGTACGTGCTAAATAATAATTATGATCCATAGCTCTGGTAGCACTAGCAACTACAACTAGTATCCCGTGATTACACATAAACAGTACCGACTTGTCCCCAAGCTGTTTTGCTGTGCGCATGCCCTCTTTCTCATATACACTTGGCCCACTGTATACTAGATTGTAATCAATTTGGTTGTAAAACAGACAGGCGTTTTGGTGGTAAATTCCAAGCCTGGGATTTTTTAAGGTTCCTAAAAAGAAGCAAAAATCATCAACTAAAACGATTAAAATACGATCAAGCACATGTTCGACTACGCGGGGGAATCCTCGTCCCAACGATATTATGAGAAATCAATGACAATTTGGAAACATACCTAAAGCCGTGCAGTATGGTGGATGTACGTGGAAGACACAAACAGCATCTGGTCGAGCTCTAGGAATTCCCATGTGAAGTGTAAAGGCCGCTATGCCTAGGCCTACTTTGCCTTTGCTTTAAACTCTTCTGAACCCAGAATGTGCCTCGAAATTTTATTAGAGGGGCACTCCTGGTATGAGTGAGCCAGTGGAGTCCATATGAGATGACCGACATCAACTCACCGTCTCCATTTGTCGCAGGAGCCATCATACTCAAATGATTATACACCCCTTCATGTAAATTGTACTTCCCTAAGATGCGATAGGAAGCTGCTAGATCAACTCGGCATCGCCAATTTTCGGTTTGAGCCTCTTCAGCAAGGGGAGTTTTGGATGTTGTACTGCTCAGCCTGCATGCTGGGATAGCAGTTCTCGGATGGCGGCTGAATTCAGTGTCGAACTGATGAAGGAAGCGCTAAGACTTAGGAAGAAATCGCAACCCTGCTGACATATTCCGTATTTCTATTCAAGCTATAAACAAAACAAACAAGATATATTGTTATACCTCCTAACCCAATTAACTAGAAAACTTTTTCTGATTGGAAGACAAGGGCATTAAGTGTTTCGGTGAAAAAAAAAACTCGTTCTTTCCCTTGGGGCCAGTTATTAAATTCAGAATTCCCACCAGTTTTGACAGTTAGGGGTCCTTGGGACCCCCATTTTCAAAAAGTTGGGGTCCTTTTAACTTTTTAGGGGTCCCTGCCTTTTACTAAAATTTGATTTTATAGTTTTTAACAAAGAGGCAAAAGCCAAGGCCAAGTGGTAACGCAACTAATAGAGCTTTAATTTTGGTATAAGTGTGCTCATGTTTCTTAATACCAACAGTTCTTGCATTAGTTTACTGGTGAGAATCTCGCCTTTTCTCAGTTAATAATATATGTAATAATAATAAACCAAAAATTATGTGACACACATATCAAGTCACAGTCAAGTGTCATTCTACAATTTTACTTTCTTCTTTTCTTCAATTTGTAAAATTTCTTTACTGCTCTATTACAAACACTTTCCTCATCTAAATGTTTTTTGGATGTATAGGAAATGTACATCTTTCACTCAACTGCACAAGGGGATAATTTATTTCTCAAAGCCCCATGAATTCAATTTTGTGCAGAAAACCCTCTTTCGCAAGGCACAGAAGTGAAAGGAATTGTTTGAAAAACTTGTGCTAGCGTTACAAATGATGGCAATGTAAACACCTGGCTTTGCAAGAATTTCACACAGTTCTTGAAGAGGTTTGTCCTCGTTACTATTAAGAAAGTGCTTAAACTGGATAAATGAATTTCTTGCTTCATCAGCATCAATTAGACTTTCTTCTTCATATGCATCAGCATCTCTCAAGTAGTCTTTCTAGATTCTTGGTACCATGATTTCGAATTTCAGCCCCTGTGCCAGGTAATTTGGCAAGGTTGGGGATGGTATTGAAAACTTTAAGTACTTGCATATCTTTTTCAGGAAATCTCTCTTTCACTTGTGCAATGATGATGTTAACGAAATTGTCCTTGATTCCATTGAAACGATATTTTTGTGCCAGATTGAAGCCTTCCACTTTGGTTCCTTTGTGTTCACAATCGTTTGTTTCCATGTGGGAAAGTAGTTCTTCCAAATGCTCACCAGGATTTTCCTTCATGTCTTTGATTGTTGACACAGTTGCTTCTGGCATTGATTGCATTTGATCAATGTCAATCATGTCCTCCTGAAAGACTTTGCTGCATTTACTGATAACACCAAGTCCATCAAGAAGGAAGCAAGTAGTTGCAATAAAAATAAAAGATTTTATTTTTTAACCATACCCCTTGCTTTGGCTGCCCCATCATTGCTGCTATATGTTGCTTCATGATCCAGAGACAATATTAACAGTGCCCACGCAGAATAAATGGCTTCCACAGCTTCATAAGTTGACAGCCACCGTACCTGGGTAGGTTTCTTGAAGCGTTTAACCTCTTGATTCATCAGGCTCTTTAATTTCTTGAGCTTGTTGCACCTAACAGCACAATATTGAAAGAAATTGTAGACGCCATTAACTATTTCTTCATAGCTAACCAGATAGGGGTAACCTTGAAAGCCCAGTGTATGACTAGGGCCAGTTTGTGAGCAACACACCAAACAGAAACTATTTTGGCATTTAGCCTTTGCAGTTGCACAGCAGAACCATTATGACAACCTGTCATGACTAAGGTGCCATTTGTTCTCAACCCAGAAAGCTTTTTCACAAGAATGTTGTTTGAATTAAGATAATTCAAAACTGCAAAATTGATGGTCTCTGCTTTACCATCCTTAACCTCAACATTAGCAGCAAATTCAATCTTAGCTTTTCCCAGAACAACTATCTTGAAAATAGAACCAACTTTTTCTGAACTGCTAATTGTCAAGACTTTCATCCAACATCAGGCCAACAAAAAACTGTCTTTGATCCTCTTTAGGGTATCTTCCTTGCACACTTCAGAAATACAGTTCTGTAACTCAGCGGCAGTAGAGTTATGTGTTTAAATCCCATCACTTTTCTTCAGATCTGAGCAACCACTCAGTGCATTGAATTTCCTGTCAGGAATTTCCTATTTTCCCATGACAAAAGCTGTTCTTACTTGAGCCTTCAATGCTGTGCTTGACTTCTCTTGAACATGACGCACAACAGTCTCGAGAGATCTTCTTTGCTTGATGTTATTCATGGCCACGATGTGGTCATTACCAGAATGATGTCGTGTCAGACTTGAGCGCTGGAAATTATTTGCTCCATGCACAAAACTTTGCGATGGTTTAGGTTGACAGCCATACGCAAGAGACAAACTTTGCACTTCATTTGTTTTTCGGTCGAATCATATTTTAACCATTGAAACTCCTCCTACCATTTAGGACAAAATTTGCGTTTCTTCACTTAGGTATCATACCTCAGATCTGTATCACTTTCAGGTTTCCTCTTTCGAATATCGAATATGTTGAATAAACTCTTTTGAGTAGACACGCCCTTGACCGTAACAAAATGGCGGGTCAAACGACATGCCATGACAATAGGAGTGACTTTTGGTTAGGGCCCGCCAGACCCAGTCCCCTAACTAGTCGGAAATTTTTTCCTGCGTCCCAAGGACGCACATTGTATAAGACGCACATCTATGCGTTCACGAAACTCTGTCAAATGCTACGTAATAACACTTGTCAAAATACAAACATAGGCATGCTATGCATGCAAGAGTTTTCAGGTGTGTGGATCAATTAAAACATTGTAAGTGATATCCACATTGTTACAAAAGGAAAGAGTATTAACGCGGAAAAGAACGAAAATGTCGAATTAACTCACACACAAGTATTTTGTGGTAGATTGTTTGTGTTGTGCGTAAACTATAACCAAAACTAAACTGTATTGGTGCGGATACCTGTTAGTACAAAATGCAGACTGCAGACTGCAGAATGCAGACCGGATACAAAATGTAGACTGCAGACTGCAGAGTGAGTACAAAATGCAGACTGAGAATTTAAAGTGTTTTTTTGTCTGGTATGTGATGACATGTCGTCTTACAACTTACCGAGCGTCACGCAATCGCTTTTCCACGATCAGCTTTCACGATTATTTGTACTATTGTGGAATATTCCTGGCCCGTTTCTTGATCAAAATAATTCTTGATATAAATTCAAGCCTTCATGTAGTCTTCTCGCTTTGCGCGCGAGTTGGTTGGCGTGACGTCTGTACAGATTTTACCAACTTAATAAAAGTAGATGTTGCTGTAGATGTAAATGCGATGTCACTATTGAAAATTTAACACGCGCAATATTCGAGAAACAATCGACAGCTTTGCACGTGGTTCGTATTATCATCTTTTTAAGCGGTATATGTTTATTTCGTTGACAAAAATGCGGACCGAGACCAAAACTGTTCCTTCGACTTGATAAATTTTCAACGTTAGTAGATCACATCATTTTAACGTACTTTGTAAATCAATCATTCCAGGTAACAGAATCAAAAAAGCATGCTAACGATAGTATCTAAATTCGTCCTTGGCCAAACATAGACGACTCCACAAGATCACTTTCACCAGGCATCGGGGCGGAGGGTGAGCTGGGTGGGCATAATCAGACAGCAAATGTTGCTCTAGCAGCAAAATATTAGTAACCCTCATTTTTCACGATCATTAGCACTATCGTGAAATATTCCTTGCCCGTTTCTCGATATCTTTTATTTTAAACAAAGCAGCCATTGCAATTGGTTTTTAACAAAGCGGTTTCAATCGTTGTTAATAGAATTTCAAGCCTTCATATAGTCTGATTTTCACAAATTAACATTTGCGTAGTCACCAAACAGATGAGAGATAAAACCACCAGAAAAGTAAACAAATGGCCAGTCACGAAAGCAACGCTTCGCTTTTTCCTATAACTAGACCCTGTGAGCAGGGTAACTGGGATACCTGGATGGTACTGGATCCGTGGAATCAAGTGTAGTGATACTACGCGTGTCGGACTAGTATACTGATATAGTGAGCTCAAGTCTGGCCAAGGGCATACACCTGTCTCAAAACATAGGCATGCTATGCATGCAAGAGTTATTTTTTCTTGGGTGGGTGGATTACTTGAAACATTGTAAGTGGTCTACATTCTTACAAAAGGAAAGAAGATTATTAACGCGGGAAAGAATGAAAATGTCGAATTACCTCACACACAGGTATTTTGTGGTAGATTATGTGTGTTGTGCGAATAAATGTAACCAAAAATAAACTGTATTTGTGCCACGGATACCTTTTAGTACAAAATGTAGACAGCAGACTGCAGACCGGATACAAAATATAGACTGCAGAGTGGTAAAAAATGCAGACTGAGAATCTGAAGAGTTTTTACGTCTGGTATATAATAACATGTCTTCTTACAGCTTACCGAGCGTCACGCAATCGCTTTTCCGCGATCAGCCTTCACGATTATTTGCACTATTGTGGAAAATTCCTGGCCCATTTCTTGATGAAAATCGATCGTAATATAATTTCAAGCCTTCAACATAGTCTTCTTACTTTGCGCGCGAGTTGGTTGGTGTGATGTCTGTACAGATTTTACCAATGTAATAAAAGTAGACGACGTGAATAACAGTGATGGTAAAGCAAGCTTAAAACGGCAACAATCGCCAGAAACTACAACGGATACACAGGGTATGAGTAAGTTTTATTGATTTTTCGAGAAAAATCTTCATATTTCGAAATATTGGAAAAACTTCCGCACAGCCCCATACTTAATTATGCATGTACATCTTACTGGTGATACACTGAATAATAAAGCCCCATATATGGATGTATAATGATGTATGGGGCTGTGCGGAAATTTTGCCGAAATATTTATCGTTGTAAATTGACCATATTTCGTTCCCTATACTATTCCTTATAACGTGTTCAAATTTTCAACGGTTCCTAGAATAACTTACTCTGAGTCACAAAACGCGTGACGCGTTCGTGAATTAATCGTTGGCTCTTTCTCGAAACGTGACCTTGGGTCGCCTGTGACAAGACAATTGTGTAAACAATACTTGACATAATAACATACACAAAAAACACGGGATTTTGGATCATGTATTTATTAAAAAAGAATATCATACAACTACAATGAAAACAAACATAAGATTCACCTTTCTGATCGTGAAATTAATACCATTCGCACTGTTATCGTAGCTACGTTCCCTGGCATTAAGTGAATCCAACACGGCGTCTTTCTTCACTAGCAGTTTGCATCCATTTGAATTTTGTTCTTCAGTCTCACGGTAGTAGTGTTGTTCAAAAGATTGCATAGAGTATATGCATTTGGTTTCAGATTTCAAATTTTGCTTTTTACAACGAGTTTACGTTTTCAACTAAGACATTGGCATACTTGGCATACAAGACATAAAAGACATTCAATGCTTTCATAGCTTTCAAGCGTTCGCGATTCTGTCCGATCCAAAATTACCGCTCAATAACATCTTTTTGTGTGGATTGGCCGCGAACAATACGACTTGTGTATGCGTCTATAAATATTTTGAGCGTTTGCCCCATAATACTCCAGATGATCGTAATCCAATGACGTTGAAATACAAAACGACTGACAAAATAGTTTTATGGGCAAAAATCTCGTGTTCGTCATGTGACCCGGCCCTGTCCGTGCATGACAACGTCAATCATCATCAAGATAGCACGCGTGATCAGCATGTGAACACCTCATTGGATCACAGTTAGTTGTCATGGTGTTGAGGGCCCAATGACCTATGGGTACTATTGCGCAATTTTTCCATTTTGTGGCTGAGGAAAAAAAACTAGACCCGGTGAGCAGGGTAACTGGGATACCTGGATGGTACTGGATCCTTGGAATCAAGTGTAGTGATACTACGGGTGTCGGATTAGTATACTGAAATAGTGAGCTCAAGTCTGGCTAAGGGCATACACCTATTTCAAAACATAGGCATGCTATGCATGCAAGAGTTATTTTTTGTAGGGTGGGTGGATTACTGGTGGTCTACATTCTTACAAAAGGAAAGAAGAGTATTAACGTGGAAAAGAACGAAAATGTCGAATTACCTCACACACAGGTATTTTGTGGTAGATTATGTGTGTTGAGCGAATAAATGTAACCAAAAATAAACTGTATTGGTGCCACAGATACCTGTTAGTACAAAATGCAGTCAGCAGACCGGATACAAAATATAGACTGGAGACTACAGAGTGGGTACAAAATGCAGACTGAGAATCTGAAGAGTTTTTACGTCTGGTAAATAATAACATGTCATCTTACAGCTTACCGAGCGTCACGCAATCGCTTTTCCTCGATCAGCCTTCACGATTATTTGCACTATTGTGGAAAATTCCTAGCCCATTTCTTGATGAAAATCGATCGTAATATAATTTCAAGCCTTCAATATACTCTTCTTACTTTGTGCGCGAGTTGCTTTGTGTGATGTCTGTACAGATTTTACCAACGTAACAAAAGTAGATTATGTGAATAACAGTGATGGTAAAGCAAGCTTAAAACGGCAGAAATCACCAGAAACTTCAACGGATACACAGTTCGCGATTCAATCCGGTCCAAAATTACCGCTCAATAACATCTTTTAGTGTGGATTGGCGGCGAACAATACGACTTGTGTATGCGTCTGTAAGTATTTCGAGCATTTGCGCTATAATGCTTCAGGTGATCGTAATCAGAACACGTTGAAATACAAAACGACCGACAAAAGAGTTTTCTAAGCAAAAATCTCGTGTTCGTCATGTGACCCGGACCTGTCCGTGCATGACAACGTCAATCATTATCAAGATAACACGTGATCAGCATGTGAACACCTTCACCCTCATTGGATCACAGTTAGTTGTCATGGTGTTGAGGGCGCAATGACCACTGGGTACTATTGCGCAATTTTTCCATTTTGTGGCGGAGGAAAAAAAAA